CTGCACTTGGCTTCTTTCCCTTCCCAAGGCCCCGCTCTCAGCCTCCCCTGGGTGTCGGTGCCTCCTGCCACTTGCTCCCAGGTTTCCTAATAGAGCCTGCTGTTCCTCCTCCCCTGGGGGCCCCAGCGGCCCTCTGCTGCAACCTCAGGTTTTCCTGGGCTTAAAGGGGCCACGTCAGCCCAGCCCACACCTGCCCAGGAGGTTGGTCGATCTGACTGCACAAACCTCCACCCAACCCAGCGAGCGCTGCCTCCCAGGTCCTCCCCAGGTCCCCTCCTCTGCTGCCGGCTTCACGTCCCCTTCCCTTCTCTTCTTCTTCCTTCTGAGCAGCAGCGGGATGGGCAGAGCCAGGCAGGCAGGTGAGCGCGGGCTCTGGCACCTTGACCGGTCATCTTGGGCCGGCCCTTCATCCCTGCTGGGCCTTAGGCTTCCCTCTTCTGTTATGTGGACCCTTGGACCCCCACCAGGCACCTTCACAGGGCCACTTTCAGATGGAAGAGGCAGGGAGAGAATGGATGGGCGGGAGCCTGCTGTATCAGGCCCCGTGGGCATGTTCCAGGAGCTGGGGGTACTCATGCCAGTGACGCAGATGGCAGGAGAAAGAGGAAAAGCAAGTGTCATTTCAGATATGCTGTAAGAGCACAGCAAAGAAGGGGACAAAAGACATTGGGGGTCATGATTTTAAATAGTGTGATGGGGGGAAGTTCAATGACGAGATAAATAAAGCTTTGACTATGGCAAGTGGTGAGCATTCCAGGCAGAGGGACTGGCAGCTGCAAAGGTCCTGAGGCAGGACCTACATGGGGGAGGGAGGGTAAGAGGCCTGTGTGACTAGAGTTAGGGAAAGGGAAGAATGGGAGGAGTTGAGAAYAGAGGGTTATGGGGATGAGATTAGGTAGAGTCTTGTGGGTCGCTAGGGACTTCAGCTTTTCTTCTGAGTGAGAAGGGGCAGAGCGGTGTGATCTGATTTGCTGCATATTTGAACAGATCCCTCTGACTGCTGTGTTGGTTAGGTAGAGGGGGCAAGGGCAGGAGCCGGAGACCAGTGTGGCCTCCTGCTGAAGTCCAGGTGAGAGGGRACAGGGGCTCCGCTCATCACCGAGTCCAAGAGGACTGACAAGTACCCAGATTCTAGATCCACTTGGAAAGTAGGGCTGCAAGATGTCCTGATAGATAGTTCCAGAATACTATCTATCTGTGTATTTTGCTTTCGTAAAAGTTTATTTTCCTTCCTTTCTCTCTTTCCTCCTCTCTCCTTCCCTTTCATCCACCTATCTAAATTTTCAAGAATCAGCTCTACAGAGGCATGATTTCCATACAACGAAATGCGTTTTAAGTGGTCAGTCTTGGCAAACACGCACACCTGTGCAGACACCAGCACTGTCAAGAGACACCGTCCTCTGCGGTTCCCTGTGCCCCTTGCAGCTGACCCCTCCCCTCCCCCGGCTTGGGCCATCACAGACCCGCTTTGCCACTCTGGTCAGTTCTTCTAGACATTCATATCACTGGAACCAAACCCTTGGTGCTGTTGGGTCTCTGGCTCCCTTGCGTGGCCTGGCTTCGAGGTCTGCTCCTGCTGAGCACACGGGTCACCTCCCTCGCTGGACGAGTGGCACTCTGTTGTGTGGTGGCATAACAGCTCACATCGTATCCCGGGGTGTTGGGTTTTCCATTCAGTCTTYAAGAAAACCTGGGAAGGTGGGTATTCGTTTCCCATTTTTTCAGATGAGGAAGTTGAGAATCTGAAGAAGGAATGAGCAGAACTTCCAYAGCTTAGAGGCTCACGTACTGGTGTCCCTCTGCCTCCTGTCCAGTGGCTCATGGGTGAATGAGTTTAGGAAGGGCAGCCTAATTCTCTCTCTGTCCATCGCCCCAATCTCTCATCTCTCTGCTCATGGCACCCSCCACACAACCACTTTCTCCCACTTCCTCAGCCTGAGTCCGACCTGAGTTCAAATCCCACTTTCGCTTTCTTGCTGTGTGACTTGGGATAAGTCACACAACCTCTCTGCACATCCATCTAAGAAACAGAGGTCATATTTACACCGTCKTCTTGAGATCCCATCCGTGCTCTCCTCTCTGTCTCTCACCAGTTTCTCTCTGGCCTGGGTAGAGCTGAGAGTCCGTGACTGTGGCCGTGGTTTTCTGTGGCTGGAGGGGAGGGGAGGGCTGAGGTGTCTCGGCCCTAGCTGCTCCTGCCTGCTGGGCAGAGGAGCTGGGGACACTGAGGACTCTTCCCATCAGATTAAAGCTGGATTTCCGCTGGTAAAGCCCCRGGGTCGGTTGGTTTTCTAAAAGTTTCCTGGTGCTTCAAATGGGCACCAGGATTGACAACCACAGGCTCCAACAGCGAGCCTCTGCGGAAGGTAGACTTGAGTTTGGACCTTGCCTCCTGGGTTAAGGTGCGTCACGCCTCGGACCAGCAACTTGTCCTGGAAATGAGCCCAGCATCTCAGGTCCAAGCCCACTCAACTGGGGGGACAATGAGGCCCAGGGAAAGGAAGGCGCTGCCCGAGGTCACGCGGCCTGATGGAGTTTGCAGACAGGTCCTCCGGTCAAGGGGGCGCCTCTAGGTTTCAGGCACTGTTCCAGGTTCTGGAGAGACCCAGAGAACAAAGCAGAAAAGTCCCTGCCCTCACCGAGCTTCCAGTCTAGCTGGGGAAGAAAAACAGAGAAGGTAATAAACAAATCCTATGGTACATCAGTAAATACTGGGGGGAAAGAAAAATGTGGACCAGGGAGCGGGGCAAGTGGGTGGGGGCGGGCAGCCAGACTGTGGTTTTAAATGGAGACCGTCCGGGTACCAGTGCCACTGTGGGAGACAAAGACAGCGCGTGGCACAGGCCTTGTGTGCAGGTGGTGATGAGCTGGAGGCAGCTGTGTGACATCTAGGGGACATCCCCCTGCGGGCTGACATCTGGAGAGGCAGAGGGGTGGGGAAGAAGTCAGGAATGTGTATGGGGGGCTCAGCAGGACATATATGGCATCCAGGGAGGAGGGACACTGTTGGGGATGGAACTTTGGGGAGAACCTCACAGTAGGATGCAGGTGCGATGTGAAGTCACTTTGGCCACTTTGTGTCAGCTTGTCTCTACAGCTTAGGTGACCGCCGACATTAGTCCAGYTTTGCAGAATCAGTCTTCTTTCAGTTTTTCAGAGGTATTAACTCATTTAAACCTTAAGCAATGCTTCAGTAAGAGGTAATTCTTATCTCTGACAGACAAGGAAGCTGAGGCACAGAGAGTGGCAGTCAGTTGCCCAGGGTCACACAGCTAGACAGGGCAGAGGCAGTGCTTGGAGCCTGTGCTCCTCTCTCTGTTGCCTCTGCTCATGGAAGACTTGAGCAGCCCCCAACTAACCTCACTGTCCCGTTCCTGGTGGCCCCTAGCTCATACACTCTGTCCACGCAGGGCCGTGTCTGCTGACGTCTCCRTGGACACGTCGCTATCCTGCTCAGATGGTCCTCTGCGGTCTCAGTTTCACTGGTGCCCACAGCCACACACTCTCAGCCTCCAGCCTCACATTGCCTTGTGCTGTGACCCTCRGATGGCCTTGCACACTCAGAACCTCATACATGTCCTTAACGTCACCTCCATAGGACCCCACTGTGAACACACTGCTCCACACACGTGATCTCATAAAGTAGAAAACACTAACACGTGTTCCCACAAAAGTACTTTTTTTTTTTGATACTGGGGATTTAACCTAGGGGCATTACCACTGAGCCATGTCCCCCRCTGCTTTTTATTTTTGGTTTCTGAGACAGGGTCTAAATTGCTGAGGGTCTTGCTAAGTAACTGAAGCTGGTCTTGAATTTACAAACCTCCTGCCTCAGCCTCCCAAGTCACTGGGATTACTGGTGTATGCCAGGGCACCCAACTCCACAAAACTCTCTTGCACACTTAATCTTGCACAAATGCATATTCAAAATATTATGCTTTCTAACATTCACACTACTAAACTGTCCTATTTTTCATGACCTTGAATGTGCACATGACCTTGGATGCTAGGTTGGCTGTGCATGTGCATTTGCCTTGTTACCAAGAAGACTTGACTAGTCACCCAATTTGGTGCTTTTATTATTTATTTATTTATTTTTTTGTACCAGGGATTGAACTCAGGGGCACTTGCCCAATTTTGTGTTTTTATTAGAGACAGGATCTCACTGAATTGCTTAGCACCTTGCTCTTGCTGAGGCTGGCTTTGTTCCTCCTGCCTCAGCCTCCTGAGCCACTGGGATTACAGGCGTGAGCCACGGTGCCTGGCCTCAACACTGTGCTTTTTGACCTCCAATGGTCTTGCCCTCTCACTTGACTCTGCCTTTCCTTGCGTGAAGACCTCCCATGCTCTCCTAACCTTATGTCATATCCCATCGTGTCTCACTCACATGATCTCACTCTGTGCACACTGCCTTGCACRCTCCCACAAATGCAGTCATGCTATCGCACAAACCCACTGTTACGCACATCAGTGCTCTTGCACATTCTCCAGTGTGTGATCAAAAATTTGTGCACACTCATTCAAATTCACATCATCAGAGCCTCACCTGTCTGCTTACACGTCCCACACACCTCCCCCTGTCTTGGAAACTTGTTGACCTTAGCATGTTCCCACCAATGGAAATATTCACACCACCCTGCAAATTCCTTCTGGCTTGTTCCCTCTGCGTGAATGCACACTCCTAGAATCTAACCCATTCTCAGGGCCTCCATTGCACACACAACTTAACACAATGACACCCTGACCCACACAACTTGCCCTTCTTGCACGTCTGTGAACTTGCCATGCTCCCACCATCAGAAATACACCATTGGGCAGACCCTCTTGCTGGYGCACTTACAACCTCACATTCAGTAACTTGCACTGATTGCCCCTCAGATGGCCGAGCTCCCCATTCAGAGCCATCCACCTTGCCCAGTCCTGGTCCTTGCACACCCAGACACTGTGCACGCGCAGGGCGCATTGTGTCACCTACTGATGTGAGCTCTCCTCGCCCACAGGGACTTACCAAGGCCAGTTTACMAACGGCATGCGCCATGGCTATGGGGTGCGCCAGAGCGTGCCCTACGGGATGGCCGTGGTGGTGCGCTCGCCGCTGCGCACGTCGCTGTCATCTCTGCGCAGCGAGCACAGCAATGGCACAGTGGCCCCGGACTCGCCCACCTCACCAGCCTCCGATGGCCCGACGCTGCCCTCGCCGGCCATCCCCCGCGGTGGCTTCGCGCTCAGCCTGCTGGCCAGCGGCGAGGCGGCGCGCGCGCCCCGGGGTGGCCTCTTCCAGCGGGGCGCGCTGCTGGGCAAGCTGCGGCGCACGGAGTCACGCACGTCCCTGGGCAGCCAGCGCAGTCGCGTCAGCTTCCTGAAGAGCGACCTGAGCTCCGGGGCCAGCGACGCAGCCTCCACTGCCAGCCTGGGCGAGGGCGCCGAGGGCGCCGACGACGCCGCGCCTTTTGAGGCGGACATCGACGCCACCACCACCGAGACGTACATGGGCGAGTGGAAGAATGACAAGCGCTCGGGCTTYGGCGTGAGCGAGCGCTCCAGTGGCCTGCGCTACGAGGGCGARTGGCTGGACAACCTGCGCCACGGCTACGGCTGCACCACGCTGCCCGACGGCCACCGCGAGGAGGGCAAGTATCGCCACAACGTGCTGGTCAAGGGCACCAAGCGCCGCGTGCTGCCGCTCAAGAGCAACAAGGTCCGCCAGAAGGTGGAGCACAGTGTGGAGGGTGCCCAGCGTGCCGCCGCCATCGCGCGCCAGAAAGCTGAGATCGCCGCCTCCAGGTAGGCCTGGCTGGGGCCACGCGGGAGGGGCCTGTTGGGATGGGTCCTGGAGCAGGCCAGCTTAGCAGGCGGTCTCCAAGCCTGTTTCTGCTTCTTTACCATAAGGGATTCCCTCATGACCTTTATGAGGTTAATTGGAGGGGTTCTAGTAGCTGGTGTCACCTGCCGTAGGTCTTCTGTCCCTTCAACCATCTATCCATCCTGCCGCGCCCATCCATACTCTCATACATCCCCCAAGCTTCTGCAATCACCCACATCCTGGCTGATTTAACTCTTACATTCACCCAGCCTTTCTAATACCCACCATCTCCCCACTCAACCATCCAGACATTCATCCAAGCCCTTCATTCATTGTGCCTTCTTTAACACCCACCTGAGCAACCCCTCTGTCTACCTAACCCTTCCATCCACCCATCTACCTCCAGCCACTGGACCTCTCTAACCTTCACCTGAACCACCACCTGGCAACCCTTTACTCATCCTCCTCCATCCATCCAACTGTCTATCCTTTTACTCATCCAGCAATTCAATTCTCCACCCATTTATCTACCCAACCACCCATGCAACTGCCCAGACCTCCTTGCAGCCCTGTATCTGTCCCTCATCCAYCTGTCACCCACATTCACTCAGTTGCTCTGAGCCACCCAGCCTAACATCCAACCATGGGTTGATTCACCAGCCACCTGCATTCACCCAACTACTCCCATTCATCCCCTTTGCACTTCCATCCACTGAAATAGCACCCCTCCTACCCCCTCACCCAGCCACCTTGCCATCAGCCAGTCACCCACCTCCTTCACCATGTTTCCATCCAACAATCCATTATACTTCCACCCACTCACCCRTGTTCACCCGGCCATCCACCCAACCACGCACCCACCCACCCTGTCTGCCATCCCTGAGCACCCACCCTATTTACATTCAAATTCCTCTACRTCTTCTCCTTCTACTTCAGATTATCTTTTAATGTTGTCTCCAGGCATTGATGGCACCTACTATGTGATGGCTATTTTAAGTGATTTACAAATATTGAGTCCTTCAGTCCTCTTAACAACCTTATAAGAGAGATACCATTTTATTGCTATTTTACAGGTGAGCTCAGTGAGGTCAGAGAGCTCATTTAGAAGGTGACTTCTCCAAAATCACCCAGTTAGAGAGTGGCCTTCTGTCACCTGGCTCCACCCTCCTATCCAGTGTCATTTTCTACCATTCTCCTCCTGGGCCTGGGCTTTTTCCCCTTGTGCTGGTCACTCGGGTCTTTTGTTAATATTTTCCAGTCCCTCCTGCTGAAGGGCTTGTGTTCAGGCTGGYTTCTCTGCCTGGGTTGCTCCTCTTTCCTCCTGCTGCCCACTTAGGTACTTTGGAGTGAGCTGCAGATAGTGAAGCCCAGTAGGTCTCAGTCCTGCCGTGGGCGAGTTCTCTGGAAGTAGACTCTGAGATGAAGATTAGTGGGCACGATGGGGGATGGAAGGAAGCAGAATAGGGTGGAGGGAGACCCTGGGCAGTAATAAAATCTCCACAAAGGCCTGTCCAACCACAGSGGGTGCTCTGCAGTGGAGATGACCTTCAAAGATGTCCCATGTTGGGGTGACGGAGCTGGGAGGTCACACCCTTAGCACTGATGCAGGTGATCCTCAAATAAAAAAGAGCAAGACTAGGTCTGGACAGCTTTCTTGAGCCAAGAGCGTATTAGTGAGGATGGACAGCTGACAGTTCTCTGAGAAGCTGGGGTGGGAGAAATCACTCTTCAATCTTTTTTTTTTTTTGGTCCTGAGGACTGAACTCAGGGGCACTCAACTACTGAGCCATATCTCCAGCCCTATTTTGTATTTTATTTCGAGACAGTGTCTCACTGAGTTGCTGAGTGCCTTGCCATTGCTGAGGCTGGCTTTGAACTCGTGATCCTCCTGACTCAGCCTCCCGAGCTGCTGGGATTACAGGTGTGGCTACCGTGCTCGTCTTTGCCCTTCAATCTTCAAGGGGAATCTGGATGGTACTTCAGAGTATCCACTATGGTGCTGGACCAAGCGCCGTTCAGTTAGGATTTCTAGTCACCGTCATCATTCAGTGAATTTATTGACAGATAATGCTTATGACAGGTAGAAGCCAGGATAGTCCTGGACCCTGAAACATGGGAGAGAGGAACAGGAAAGAGTTTTGTCTCTGGATTCAGAAGAGCGTGCTGACTCTTCTACTGACCAGCTGTGTGATCCTGCCCAAGTTGATTCGCCACTCTGTTGCTGGGGTCCTCTTTCCCCATACGATAGATAATTAGGAGGAGGAAACCAGCTGATGCCTGGGACATGCCCAGCGCTGAGCAGCCAGCAGGAAAGCAACCCTTGTTAAGATCTCCTGTGTTTGATTTTAAGGCGAGGAAATAGAAGGCTGGAAAGAGGGAGGGATTCCCCTTCCTATTTCTACGGGGGCAACATCTTGCCCTCTCTGCCCCCTTACTTCCCCTGCCTTCCCTCTCCTTCCTGCCCATGCCTGCACCCTTGAATGTGGAGGTGTTGAGCTCTCCCTGCTCAGAAGGTCGCTGGGGCCACCAGAGCCTTTGGAGTGAGTGAACAGGCTCTTGCACTGGGAGCYGCTGTGAGCGGTGGGCAGGGAAGGTCTGCAGTCCTCCTGTGTGCGAGGAACCAGTCCCTGTGCCCTGGGGCTGATGTCCTGTGTGTGTGTGTTGGTGGCCCAGTTAAGGGAGTCTTTGGTGAAGAGGAAATGCAGGGTTGTGCCTCTTCCCCTTCCCTGGGGCTTGGGTGAGTGACTTGGCCACAGAGGGACAGGAAACTCCCCAGCAGCCTCCTGGAGCGGGCTGGGCCTGGGATTCTCTCCATCCTGGCCTCTGGGCTTGGCCCTGGGCTTGTGTGTCCAGCTCAGTCTACAATCAGGACACTTTTCCCAGGAGAAGGGAGCAAATAGTCACATCTCACCCTTGAAATGGACCAGAGATGGAAAAAGATTCTAGACCTGCATCTTCCAGTGTCCCAGCCTCGGGCCACCTGTGTCTGTGGAGTGCTCGAAATGTGGCTGGTTCCAGTTGAGACACTCCGAGTGTGAGATGCACACTGGATTTCCAAGATTTAGTATGAAAAGAATGTAATTCTATGAATATGCTGAAATGACTATACTCTAGACATATTGAATTAGAGAAGATATATTATTGAAATTAATTTCATYTGTTTCTTTTTGCTTTTTTTGAATGTGGTTACTAGAAAAACATTTTCATTACCCCCGTGACTTGCATGGCATTTTTATTGATCAGTGTTGCTCTAGATCCATTCAGGCCCTTGGAGATAGTCCAGCCCCACCACCGACCAGRTGGGGAAACTGAGGCCCAGAAAGGGATAGAGACATAGCCACGGCTACTAGGTAGTGGAGGGAAACGGGATCCTTGCCTTCTGATTTTGCGAGGAAGGACTCTTTTGGTAATGCCTTTTAAGGTCCTGGGTTGYGGAGTAAAGCTGGGACATTTGGAGAGGTGCCTGAACTGTTCTGGTTGTCACACTTACACCCTGCTAAATGACTTCTTTCTGGAAGGAGCAGAGTAGATGGCTAAGCCCAAGGCCCTCAGTTTCCTCATTTCTAAAAGGAGAAAAATGGTAATGACCTTGAAGTGTCTTCAGGGCCAAAGCAGAGGCTGCATGGGAAGCTCTCTGTGCAGGGCCCGCCAGCAGGAAGCCCTCAATCATTGTCAAGGGCTATTGTCATTGGCTGGTATTCTTATTGTGTCCCTTGTGGTGCTGGGTAGAGATATCCTTAGAGAGTTCTCAGCTACTCCAGGGTCTAATGTTAGGAATGTCTCAGGGTTTGTACTGGGTGACGTCACTGAACTGCTCGGTCTTCTGTCCCCACCATCCCTTCCTCTCCTATAACTCCTCCCCAGGCCGGCCCTGGGAACTCCCAAGTTGAGTGCAGAGCTAGAGTTGGCTTTGCAAGTTGCTGGGGACAGAATTTTTCTTGTGTGTGGGAGGCCCGGTGGCAGAGTGGCCAAGAGTTTGGGATAAGGCATTGGCCAGCCTGGCATTGAATCTGGGTTCAGCCTTTTGGAAGCTGTGTGACCTCAGGCAAGTTTGCACCTCTCTGGGGCTTATTTTCCTCTTCAAAAAGAAGGTAGAGGCTGTTACTATGAATCATGMCTCATTCTGCAAGGACCTTGGAGTCTCCCCTGAGATTGAAGCCACCTGGGGGACAGCCTCCTCCTCTTCTCTCAGTCCATACAAAGTGTTTTCCAAACTTTTACCTCCTGCAAGCCACACTCCCAATTTTGGTTACATTCACACCCCCTCCCCCCATTAACTTACCTCCTGGATCTTCATCTTTTAATCAATTTGCTTATTGAACAGGAGGGCTTTCTAATCACCTTTGTAAATAGAAAACCAATATCCTGGGGAGTTCTGAAAACAGAACAACGTCATTCAAATCCAGGGCCATGCTGTGGATGGCTGATTGCGCTGAGTCTGAAGACTGTACTTTTTTTTTTTTTTTTTTTTTTTTTTTGCTGAAAAGAGACATTGGCAAGAGATTGGAGGTTTGAAAGATCTGTAGTCACTGGAGCAGGACTTTCTCCTCGACTAGTAAGAAGAATGGAACCGCAGGGCATGGTAGCACCTGCCTGAAATAGCAGCTCTGAGGGCTGAGCCAGGAGGATCGCAAGTTCAAAGCCAGCCTCAGCCACTTAGTGAGGCCCTAAGCAATTTAGTGAGACCCTGYCTGAAAATAAAAACTAAAAATGGCTGGGGATGTGGCTCAGTGGTAAAGCACCTCTGGGTTCAATCCCCACAACCCCCATGCCCCCAAAATGTATCTGATGCCATTCAAACTGTGACTTCACACTGTCCACACCCATTTCTCTCTACACCAGGAACACAGGCCTCCCCAGGAAGAGGGCTTGGCCCTGGATGAGGTCCGAGGGAGGGTCTTGGTGATTGCCCATGTTTGAACCTGCTTYTAAAATTTTTATTTATGAAGTGCTGATACAGTTCTTATTTCTGAGAGCCAGT